ATTAAATAATATTTAATCCTAATGTTTTACTTGCTAGTGGGAGTTGAGCCATTCATTCAAGGAATTTTCAGACATTAAATCTTTTGAACGTTAGTCATATTCACCTGGCAACAAGTTTCGCATGCAACGTAACATTCACTCTGTTCGTTTTGCATACATGTGTATATATGGACTATGGTGTACCCGTTCGAATTACTCCAACACTTTGCAAGACCGGAGATTGGACATAGCTCCATAAAGATATTAGAAAGTATATCAATGTAAAACATTTAAATAAACCTCAGCCCATATATCGTTATTGATATCACTCAAAAATAAAATGAAAGGAAAATGTTTCATTAAATTTAGAAAATAGAAATGAAAACACATATTTTATATACACAACCTTTAATTATTATATTCAACATTACATCTCTATAAGATGACATATTAAAGTATATGTTAACATCCTATAATAATATTATGATATAATAATAGTTGAAAAAAATACTTGATATAATGTTATTTTTTGTACTTTCATCATTTAAGAATCGATATTTATCTAACGTTTTATTTATTTGAAGCTGGTGAATGAAAATGATGTTTTATCACATCTATCGATGTCGAGAAGACTAAAGATTGGGTGTTTTAGAAAAATATTGATGGGTGCATGAGGTAGTTTCATCAAGAAGGCAATATACAACCATGTATGGTAAAATTCATTTCACAAAACATTAGTAACCCACTTAATAGCTAAAATCAATTTATTCTATAAATTGATAACCAATATAAGATGATGTAACTGGTGGATCGCAAAAATATGTTTTCAACGTCCTATTGAAATTCTAGTGAAACTTGCCGTATGAGGTGATGTAACCAGTAAATCATGGTCAAGTCATATCCTATATTTGAATTATTTTACGGTTAATATGTGACCACCCTTATTACCCATAGAATCCGACATCTAACTTTGATACATAACACAATATAATTCAATTGGACTTGGTCATCATTATTTATTTGAAATTTGGAAGGTGAATGGTATATATGCAAAGTAATTGAAGTTGGTAACCGTTATTTAATTGAAATTAATAGGTTGGGTGTTCTAAATACGTCCAGAAATGGTTGGGTGTTCTAAATACATCCATAAACAGTTGTGTGTTATTAAATGCAAAGTAATTGAAGTTGGTGGGTGTTATCTTAACCTATCTTAATAAAGGCCGGTTTTCTCATTTGATGTTCATTGCTTACTTCTTTCTTTCATATTAAGCTTTAAATCATTGTACCATATGTTATTAGATCATTGTTTCATTTATTTGGCCCATCAAATTATCAAATGCACCGTCAAGCTTAGTAAACGGTGTTAAAGTCTAGCTTTTCTCTTTTGAAATATTTGTTAAATTGAACATGTTGCTTTAGTTCATTGGATGTAATTGGTTTTAAATTTTCAAAATTTATTCCTCAATTTAATGAAATAAATTGATTATAAATTAAGATCATGATTTTTATGTTCATTCAAGAACATGAAGCATCTCATATCAAATACTATATCTTTAGTTGTTGAGGTTTATTCCTTCAACCTTTAGGTCCAACACGTAAGCCCAAAGATTTCGAGTGGATTGTTTATGTGTGTATAACTGATCCAACGAACAAGTAAGATGGGCTAAGAAAATGATTAGAAAGTAAAGACCGGATATTATTAATGATAAATAACGCCCCGATACAACATACATTCTTGCTAAGGCCGAAGGCCGTTCGTCTAGACCGCTAAGGCAGAGCTGCGAATGCTAGGCTACACGCCCAAGTAAACTAGAATGCTAAGAGTAATAAGTTGCCAAACTCCTTACAATGAAATAAATGTTACTATTTATACCACCAATGGCCAGTTGGTCATGCTGATGTGGAGAACTATGAATGGCTGATGTTCCAACTACCAAATCCCCAGCATTAAATGTGCTTCCCGCCAGAATCTGTGTTTCCCGCCTAATCCGTGGAGACGAACGTCTCCCTGGCTTAGGGCCTGCTCTTGGTGATACTTGCAAAGGATCGTGGCCGTTCGTATTATGGCCCTTGGTAGAATCTGTTATGTAGCTTGGGCCAGATCCCTTATGAAATTTACATGTCAATCACAATTTTCTCTTTAGTTAATATATTATTTAATTTCAAAAACATTTACAATTTTTTAATTGTAATTGAATACTCTCTAAACTCTATTAACTTCATATAAGAATATAAGAATAAGAATGGTTTGCATTTTAAAATTGTATTTTTTTTGTGTGTGTGGATAAGAAGAATTCAAGTTGTTGGGGAACCATCTTCTTACCCATTCAATTGAATTTCAACACAACATATAACTTTTCATTTCCATTCGAGACATGACACAGAAATATCTTTCTCATACGACGACAAAGAAAACGAAGGCCCTGGTGAAAGGCTGGTTCTCTGAAGATAAAGATATGAACCTTGCAAATATAGGAGATAAAATTTGTATACACCCATCCTCCACTACATTTCATCGCGCAAGTAAGGCATTTTATGATTTACATAGCATGAAGAACTTAATCATTTCTGAAATAAATTTCACATAAATTTCACATAAATTTCAAAATTCCATGACAAAATATTTTAGACGTATGCTATGAATTGAAATGCCTCTAGGCTCTAGCATCTTAAAAGTGAATAATGTGTTCAAAATTTGATATATTATGATTTTTGCTATTTTTCTTCCTCGAAAAGGGAAATAGGTTCATGAACATATGGTTCAAATCGAGTGCAATTTATATTACAGTTGAGAATAAGAGGCATTGCTCAAGTATTTAAAGTTGAATTAAAGCACAATAAAACATATTTGAACAATATTAATTTGTCAAATCGATACCCGTCAACTTTTGGCACTATATGTTTTATTTGGAAAGCCTTGAGGTTTTGAAAAATTGAAAACCAAATGCCCTCCTCATTTGCCTCCCCATGTGCATCCCCACCTTATCCAATTGATTAGCCAAAAGTTTGACCTTGATACTTTCGCTCTTTCGGGGTAAATATAAAGGGATGTTGGCAAAATTCCGCTTGGGATCAAGTAGCTAGACTAGACTGAATTTTTTTAGTTTAGAATGGTCTTGTCCGAACTGGTATGATTTAGTTTGATGAGTGTATGGTTTCTATGTATCTTATAACTATCTAAGTCTAGTATCTGATCTCACTTGGTTTGGTCTAAAATTGAAACATTCCAAATAAAAATATCATAAATCTCTGTCTGTCAACTCCCTTAAATTGAGCGTGTTTTCCATGCCTTTTTTCGAAGAAAAAAAATAGAGATGAAATCTCCCCCCCCCCCCCCCATGGTGGGTACGTACACTGTCCCATGGTGGATACATATTAAAACCTCCTCATCACTAGCCGATATTTCCTCGAATTTCATTGTCCTCAGATTTAAAGTTAGCTATAGATTGAAACCTCAACGACTCAAAAAAAAAAGACAACTCAACGACTCTTTTAAAACCCTTCATTTTACCAAATGATTTCGAAAAAACGAGATTAAACCGCTGAGTCATTGATTGACCCGAGTAGGGACTGTCGTGTCATTTATAGGACTGGATCGGGACCGCCCAGTTTTTTATCGAACCGAACATAGGTCGTTGGGTCATTTGCCAGACAAAGATGGGGGTCGCATGGGTCGTTGATCAAACATGATGCGAACCGTCGGGTGGCTAACCGGACAGAATGGGGACCGCCGGGTCATTGGCCGAATAGGACGGGGACCGTCGAGTCGTTGACTAGATCGGATCGGACTGGGACTGCCCGACCAACGATCGGACCAGGACTGCCCGACCATCGATCGGACCGGGACTGCCCGACCATCGATCGGACCGGGACTGCCCGACCATCGATCGGACCGAACAAGTATCGCATGGTCGTGGATCAGATCGGACAGGGATCGTCAGGTCATCCACCGTACCAGACAGGGACCGTCGGCTCGTGGACCGGATTGGGACCTCTGGGTCGTGGACGGTGGACCGGACGAGACCGTCGGGTCGTGGTTAGGACCAGGACCGTCGAGTCATCGACCGAATTGGACCGGGATTGTTTGGCCGTTAATTAGACCAAACATGGACCGCCCGGTCAATGATCAAATCGGACAGCTAGGTTGTTGATCGGACCAGATAGAGACCATCGAGTCATTGACTGGACCGTAGGATTATTGACCCGAACGGACATGGACCGTTAGGTGAATGACCAGACAGAACCTCTAGGTCGTAGACCGGACCGGATAGGGACCATCGGGTCATGACTGAACCAGACTGAAACGGACATCGGAGCTAGACCGGATCCAGCATTTGGTGTAAGTATGTAAATTCATTGCAGCGGCACTACGACATTCGTGTTTTCCAAATTTGGAAAAATTGTAAAAGACACTTCTCCAATTCATTAAGGAAAACAGATATGTATCTCATTTTTTAGTTTTGGAAAGCGATTTGGTAACGCAAATTTATGTTTTCCTTTCTCCAAGTATTCCATCAGTTTTTTTTTGTATGTAGTTTTCTGTTTTCATTTTTCTAGTTTTCTGAAACCTGGAAATATCTCCGTTAGTAAACATGCCCTAAATTTTTAGTATGACATGTGACGAGAAGTCAGATGTTTTTACTTGGATTGTTGTCAATCCCAGACCAGACCAGTTCGGACCAGACCAGATCGGACCAGATCAGACTAGACCAATCCAACTCAGAATTGGATAGTTATAACTTATAAGATACACATAAACCAGACATTTATCAGACTAGATCGAACCAGTTCAGACCAGACCAGATCAGATCAGACCAACAAATTTCAGTCCAAATAAAAATATCAATAGTGCTCTACGGAAGCGGATGAGTCATGGGCCTCATCCCTCAGGGCTCAAAAACTTTAAAAAATTAGTGGCCCAAAACTGAAATACCGATATACGAAGTATCATACGACTGCGTATATAGTCCGTATGTATTTTTAAATTATACTCCGTATATTGGCTGCCTTTGTGTTAATAATTTCCTCTTCAGCGCTTTAAAAGCAGAATAGCTAACCAACGAAGATGAACAACCAAACAGATTGAAGAAAAAGGGCGTTACAGCGATTTGCGATTCCTGGATCAATCGATCAACCGAGACAAAACAATAAGAAGTAAATATATTATCCTGTTTTGCCTACTAATATTTTAATTATTTGCTGATCGTTTATTTATTTTTCCTTTCCACATATACATACACTAGAGAATTTAATTAAAGCTACCAATATATGCATACTAGAGTCGAGTAGTCGACCGTATCTAAATCTCTTGCTCTGATTAAATTGCGATGTTGCGATGCGGTCTTAGATTTTGTTTGTTTTTATCTTATGAAGTGTCTGGAATCAATTTCACTATTGATCATTGATCAAATTCTTGTTCTGGTTAAATTGTGATGTGATCTGATATTTGGTTTGCTTGAATCTTGAGAAGTGTCTGGAATCAAATTCACTATTAATCGTTAATCAAATATGTTGTTGTTTGGTGTTTAGTAGTTATAAAACTGCTAATCTGCTATACATGTTTAACACATAAAGCCATAAATGAAGGTAAACACAGAAAATATTTTTGAAATCATGGTTAAATCATATTTTTATTTATTTTTAGTAATATTAGTACACATATGACTCCAATAAATCATGTTTTTTTATTTATTTTTAGTATTGTACCTCTCAAATGCATGTCCGCATACTTTTAGTTTTTTTAATGGTGTTTAGTTGTTTACTTCAAAATATCAGACGACAAAAAATTGCAATCAATATGGGCCTTTTATGAAGCTTGACTCACTGACTTAAGCTCGAGTTTGGATAGGATCTACACTGATCACAAACGGAATTCACAAAGTTAAAACACTTCCAAAGGGGCTAGTTACATTCAATCCCACTAACAAATATTAATGACAATAATACAATAAGGAATAAGAAAAAAATACATTTTAATTAATTAATCTCCAACCATAAGAGGTAGCAGGATAACAAACGAGATATTTCTTCAACCTACACACTTTAGCATGTTTATCATGCTCCTCTCTCTGTGTTATAAGTGGCAGGCAATCCTGGCTATCAATGGATCCTTCAAACTTATTAGCCTCGCCCACGACCTCCAACTTTCCCACTCTTTCCCTGACCTTGGAGCCCCCTCATCCATCCCACGCCCAATTCCTCTTCCAACAACATTATCTTCTCTACCTCTTCCCCTACCACACCCTACACCAGGTGGCTTCCTGTCTAATTCGGCTTTTTGTTTCTTCTTGAACTTTATCAATCACCTCATCTGGAACCCGGAGATATTTAATTGTATTCCCACGAATATAGCGTTCTGGCATTCTCCAAATCCTATCTCCATCCTTCCAAGTACAGGTACTTTGTGGTGATGAATATTCATCCAAATATCGCAATTTACCAAATGCCTGTTATAAGTTTCCCATTCTTTAGTTCCATCAACATGGGATGCCCCTGGGCAGTTTTGAGGAGAGAAAGCAGAAGCAATTAGGAAGCACGACAATCCAAATTCCCAGATGACACAAGCTGTAAACTCTACCTCTCTAAGCTAAAAGAGGAAAGGGGGTTAGGGTTAGCTGTGCGCTCAGATTTCGATTTGAGAGTGGAGAGTCCACTGAATTATATATTTGGACTTATAGTTAGTTTGGTGTGAATCCCAGGAATTTCCGTACTTTACTGGTCGCAATATTATCTGTGAATGCAGTCCTTTACAGGTTTTTGAAATTGAAAAAAAATACGAGTATATATTTCTTTCATAATTAGATCATATAGCCTCATGGACATGGCTTTTCTTTTCAGTATGCAAATTATTCGATAATCTCCTTGTGTTTGCCATTAAAATACAGTTATGATTTATGGTCACCTATGTTGCACGGATACGTGAGATTCACGGGGTAAATGGGAAACACACTCTTTTAATAGAAAAAAAAACGTTTTAGAGAGTTTCCGTAAACAGAAACATACTCTTTCCTCGAGAGTGTCCGTGCTTCACTGATGACCATTTATCCATTACTATTGTTTGTTAGAATCGGGCTTACAACTCATGGTGGTCAATGAAGATATAACATATGTCGTCTATATAAGAAATAATATATGTTGAACTATACTACTTTATTGCTTGAAGGGTGAAATTCAATATGCGGTAAAGTGGAATAAGGATCCTGTAGTATTTGTTTTCGTGGTAAGTATACTACAATAAGTGATACAAGATTACAAGTGACCGTTCGTGGGTTATTTTTGTCTGTGTGACATGCTATTCTTGCATATTTATTTATTTAGCAAATATTCTGAAAGCCTTCAGTTTAGGGATACTTTTTCAATTTTCACACAATTATTCATTTAACCTTGCTTTTGCATCGTAGTAGATCCCCGCGCCCATCAAAAGGGAACAATTTTGTTGCATTGTGGCATGTTTTATACGATATGACATCATAAAGTTGAGGCCCTTTTCACCATTATTCAGGGATCTGCCATGTGGCTTCTGATACATCTAAAAAGTTCATGATTTGCACAATTCCATTTTAATGATGTAGTGTTAGTTGCTTTCAATTTTCTATTTACAGAGAGTCTAGAGTGCTATTTTACAAATGGGATGTTACAAAATATTTTCTTTGAAGCTGTGTTTTAAGCTGACATCTACTGTCAAAATTGAATTCTTAGTAGTATTAAATAAGTAGGATTGTAGGGTATGTTGCTGCATCAGTTTTTTTATTAACATCATAGAACATTGTAAAATTAATGGTTTTAGTGTTAGTAACAGTTTGAACTCACATCACCAGTGCACCTAAATGGCATCTTTAAAACAAAGCACGCGAGAAGAGGCAGATAACAATCATGCTCTTCTCCGTAAGGAATGGGATGAAGCTTCATGCCCGATATGCATGGATCACCCACACAATGCTGTCCTTCTACTTTGTAGTTCTCATGATAAAGGGTGTAGATCTTACCTTTGTGACACAAGTTATAGGCACTCAAACTGTCTTGACCGTTTCAAGAAAGTCCCTGAAGAAAATTTTCATTTGCCCCCATCTCCACCAACATCAGAATTAAAGCAGAGCCTCAAATGTCCTTTATGTCGGGGGGATGTATTTGGGTGGAAAGTCATGGAAGAAGCTAGAGACCACCTCAATTTGAAGCTTAGAAATTGTTCTCGTGATTCGTGCACGTTTGTAGGCAACTATAAGGAATTGCGGCTTCATGCCAGGAGGGCCCACCCCACAGTCCGCCCAACTGAGGTTGACCCATTAAGACAAAGAGCTTGGAGAAGCCTTGAAGAACAGAGAGAGTATGATGACATCATCAGTGCTGTTAGAACGGCTATGCCAGGGGCTATGGTCCTTGGGGACTATGTGATAGAGAATGTTGGAGGAAATAGGGTTTCTAGCTCAACTGGTAATAATAGGGATAGAGGGGCTGGATTGATGAGTACATTTTTTCTCTTTCAGATGTTTGGATCAATGGGCTCAATGCCTGATCTAAGAAGGGGTGATGGGGGGTCAGGGGATTTGTCGAGGCACCGTCGTTCAAATAATGGACCTTTTTCAAGGCGTCGCTCTCTTTGGGGTGAGAATCTTTTAGGACTTCAGGATGAAGAGAGAAACAGGGAAGATAATGATGACCCTAACATGGATGTAATGAGTGATGAGGCTCCCTCTGATAGGAGGAGGAGAAGGAGGCGTCGATTTATTTGATCTTTCAATGTCAAATGAAGATCACCAGTAGCATTAGACAATCATTCTGGTAGTGTAATCTCAGGATCACTTAGTTTAGAACCCGTTTGGTATGGCTTGAAATAGATAAATTGAAACTGCGGAAATTTTCACTATATATGTTGAGTCATTTTAAAAAAAGGTTTAAATATGTTTTTAATCTTTGCAAGTATAGTAAATTTTGTTTTATGTCCCAATAAAATTACTTTTAAATTAGTTTTTTTGGTTTTCATCCCTAAAATGTAAGTTGCTTTTCTTTTTAGTACATCACCAATGATAACCTCTGTTTAACAATGAAATAATCCCAGGTAGTAGGTTTCATGTAATTTTTTATCATGGTACTCAAAAAGTATTTAATTATGTTTTTAGAAGGGTTTAATACATATTTTAAAAAGTGAATAGTTAGTTTTACATAGTTTTAACATTCATATTAGTCTCAAAAAAATTATAAAAGGATAAATTTAAGTTTTTCGTAGATTTCTGCAATTGATAATATTTGTTTTTGCAAATAGAGTTTTCTAGAATTAGAGATGGACTAAAAATAAAATGGTGCCAGGGATGAAAAACAAAAAATATTTTATAGAAACCTAAAACAAACAAAATGTCTTATATTTGCAGGGAATAGAAATGTATTTAAACTTAAAAAAAATACTCCATAACAAATTAAACGTTAATCTTAGCCAACCAAACGGGTTCTTAGCATCCCTTATGTTATTATATTTGATCTTGCGGTTAGACTTAAACGAAATTCTTCTATTGTCCCGCCAATGTGCAGAGACCCTCAGATCCATAAACTTGATGCAACTTATTCCTTGAGTTTTCAGAATGGCAGATTTGTTTGGAAATGGGCAATAATTGATGGTGCTGGTGAATTATGTTCCATTTATGATCCATCTTAAACTGCAACATTTGTATATATTCGTTTGTATTTTCTGTAATCGTTCTATGTGCAAGTGCGTAATACTGTTGTTCACTCGTATGTAATCTCTATATATTGAAACTTATCTATTATCTATTGAAACATGAGTGTGTTGCTATTTTTGCAGTGCTCTCCGCCTCTCCTCAAGGTTTTCAATCGAACTAAAAAAAAGTATCGAGCAAGATTGATTTAAGATACTACCATAACTACGTTCATTTTTAGATATTTTACTAAGCATTCAATTTGTAGGTAGTGATGGTCTCAACCGGTTCCGGGTCCGGGTCGGGCTAGGCCCGGCCGGGCCCAAAAAAAGTTCTGTGAGGCCCAGGACCGGCACGGAAATAGACCAGTGCCGGTCTGGGCCGGGTCCGGTTATAATTTTTTTTTGTTTTCTTGATTATTTTTATCCCCTACCCCCCACCCCACAAACCCATTTGAATGACCCATTCAAGCCCAATTAAACCCAACCCAAAGCCCCAAACCAACAAAAAACAAAAAACAAAAATTGAAAGGCCCGAATTGGGCCCGGAACCGGCCGGGCTGGTTCTCATTTACCTAAGCCCGTACCCGACCCGATTACCCACCCCAAACTGGGCTTAGACCCGGAACCGGTACCCGGTTCCCAGGCCGAGCCGGGCCCACACAGCACTGGGCCGGGTGGCCCGAACCGGGTCCAAGCCTATAATTGTAGGAGTGTGTGTATTGAAGTATTACCATTCCAACACCATGTGGTGCAAGTCTCACTCTAAATATGGGTGAGTTCAGTTTTGCATTTCAGTTTTGATCAAATACGGAATTAAAGTACAAAAGTTTAATTCTGTTTGATTTTACATTCTGAAACATGAAATAAACAAGTCTATAACATGAGCAAATAGGCAAACATGCCAAAAAGATAAATATAAAATAAAAATGAGCAAATAAGCAATCATATCTTGAAATTTAGTTAGAGAATAAATATTTTTCCAATAGTTTTGAAAAAAGTGTAGTAAGATTATACTATGTATATTTTATATAAAAAGGTTGAAGTTATATTTTTTAAAGTTGTAGATGTTACATCATTGTTCTTTATTTAACATTTTTTCCTACGCAAAAGTATATGTCATATGAGATATTTTTTAGATGAATATATTTTATTTTTTCAATAAAAGTTTCCAATAATTACCAGTAAAAATACATCCTTCCCATGCAACAAACTAAAAATCTACAAAAATGTGTAAGTGTGGCGTACGTAAATGTAAATAGCTATAGGAACATTGTAAATGTTGTAGAACTAATGTACGGAGTATATGAAAACAAAGTATATTCAATGTAATTGCGGTGTAATTAGTATATTCAATGTAACCGTGGTGTAATTGTGTAAACAACAATTTAAGGAAAAATTACAATTTTCTTTTGTAAAACAAAAGAATGTACATATATACAAAGTTTAAGATGGACAGAATCTCAATTTTGGGAATAGGGATCCAATCAGACTAAAATTGTTGAGTCTTTTAACCGGAATCGGATCTGGCCTTGCAATTCTAGGTTGAGATCGTGATCGGGTCAAAAGTTATATATGTGGCGGACACTATTAGCTATTATGGGATCAAAACAAACTGGTTTGTCCGGCCAAGCGAATACATTTTGACTTTTTTTATCTGTAATAACAAAAATAAAACATAGTCGAGACCGAAATTCCAGCCACAAACCACAGTTAAAGTCCGAGCTCCCTTACTTGAATACCATGGACCGTTTGTGATTGGATCAAATACGATAAATTTACCCGGTAATCAGTGGCGGAGTCAGAAATACGGTCCAGGGGGATCGAGAATCAACTTTATACAAAATGAAAACGGTGGATCGTTTCCAAACAATGTCCGAGTTGAATATTTTATATGTAGTTTAGATAAATAGGCACTCGTAACAATAAAAGAGTCTGTTTTTGCTCTATTTTTGAGTCATGTCACGTAAGTAATGAGTTCATTATACGCTGTTTTTAAAATTTGGGGAAAAAAATCAATATTACTCATCAAATTTTGCTGATTTTACGTTTAGATAGTGCTGATTTTACAGAAGTCATAACTTTTTACTCGTAATGAGTTACGGGGGCTATAATATATCAAATCGAAGATATTTCAGAGCTCTATGCTCTCAAATTTCAGCGGGGTCGACTGACCCCCCTTGGCTCTGCCCCTGCCGGTAATAGGTTGATGTAATCAAACTCATTACACTTTTATCAAAATATTTTGTTCTAGTAAGGAATATGTCAATACTCCCCTTTTGCTACAAATGTTGAACTTTTTGTTTCATCGGCACGATGTATCACTCTTCAAACAAAAAGGGGTTTAATTTTTTAAATAAAAAATAGTTATATACCCTACACACTCAAACAACTGATTACAAAATCAGAAATTGACCTAAATAGGAGTAAAAACGTTTTGAAATTCCAAAATAGGAGTATCATGTTTTTTATTCCCTGAATAGGAGTAAATTTCTGCCAAGTTTGACATTACAAGGCTTTTAAACATGGCATTTTCTTCCAAACTTGGCAGATTACTCATATTCAAGGAATAAAAAACATGATACTCCTATTTTGGAATTTCAAAACGTTTTTACTCCTATTTAGGAAATTCTCTTACAAAATTGATTTGGCAATCAACATAAAATAAATGTTGAGAAGGTTGAGATTTTTCACTGTTTGCAACTCCATAGTGATAATTTCATCTGTCCCATTTCCTAATATAAAATTTTTTGTGTTAGTCCAAAAAATATAAACACTCCTAAGTTAAACCGCACTGACTTTTTACTTTCCAATTATCTCTTTCTCTATGACGATCAAAAAAAAAAAAATTATCTCTTTCTCTATCATTTCAATTTTCACCTTTTACTTTTTATTGACCCATTTCGAACTTTCTTCGTGAAGGTTCAGATTGTGATATAATGATAAATTCTTTACTTTCTTAAAACCCGTTTTAGACTTAGGATGTTTTCTTTTGGACTGTTTTCAGTCCCAGACCAGACCAGACCAGACTTAAACAGACCAGACCAGACTTAAACAGACCAGACCAGACCAGACCAGACTTAAACAGACCAGACCAGACCAGACTTCCGTAGTTATAAAATACACAGAGACCAGACGTTTACCAGACCAGACCAGTTCAGACCAGACCAGACTTAAACAGACCAGACCAGACCAGACTTAAACAGACCAGACCAAACCAGACCAGCAAATTTCAGTCCAAAAGAAAACATCCTTAAATGTATCTTATATAATGGGACAAATCACATATAGTAATATTTTAACACAGGAGGATAACCAAATCTTACTAGCAAAACACTTTAAATTGCGGCAAAGAAATTACCAGCTTTTGTCATATTTCAAGAAAAGATATCAAGAGAATATTCCACAATTTAACCAAAGTTACAAATATACATTCACTACATCCGGCAATGCAAATAAAACAAACGTAGAATAGGTTGAGAATTCACTTTTTACAACTCCGTAATTACTCATATCTATAGAACTTACAAGCCAGACGATGATGGTAAGAAATCAAAGGAGAAAAAGCCAAAAGATTACAACTAACAGAAACTGCCAATGCACAATTTGCACACAGCTTTGGGCCCTCACCATCAACTCTCGGCCTTTAGTTGCAAGTGGGGTTTCCTACACACGGTGTTCCTAGCTGGATTTGGGATGTCATGATTGTGTTTGCCTTCGTAAGCAGTGATGACCGCTTTGGGATCTGCTGAAGCTCTTTCAACGTGTTTACGCACTCTGCATCCACTAAATGTGCATCTATAGTAACTCCTGCAGTAAAAATTTGATAGCATATGAGATAAATTTGAAACGGCCTTTAGGAAGCATACAGTAATTACCTTTACCAAGATGGTTTGGGTGTTTGACTTCATAGAGCTTGAAATTTTTCTTCTCATTTTTTTGGTTAACATGATCGAATTACTAGTTTGAGCTTGATATGCTTTGCCATCATAAAAAAGACTGAAATTTAAGTCCAAGAGGTTAAGTTGATTGCAACAGTAGCCCGAAACCTTGAGAGGTGTTTTGGCAACCAGAAGAGTTAATTTTGACTTCTGTGTGGGCCGTTTCAAAATTAACATGATTATTAAAGGTATGAGCAAGTTTGATTTATTACACAACATATATCATGTAACTTTTGAAATCACAAAAAGTGGAAACAACCTTGAACAAGGTCTTGTTTTTGTTTTTACATTTGATCGATTTGCCATAACTTCACCAACGAAAGTTGACAAACTTTTTCGCCTTACGTTTTTGGCGTAACACATATTCCAAAATTTTCTTGATTTTCCTTGAATGTGAAGCACGAGAGAAAACTTTTCTTGCTCCCAAACTATCATGACATGGCACAAAATACCTAGTATGAAAACTCAAATTCTCTTTACAGAATGCTGTTTTACAAAACAGTTATACTTTCAAAGAAGTCAACCACAATGTGGTATGACACCAAATTGTCAAAGAATGCAGGGAAACTCACTCTAACAACTTTTTTTTGCATGCATAAAGAGGAAAATGAGTACCTTGGATGAGTGTTTCCTTTGACTACTTTCTGCCCATATTTTCTCCACTTGTATCCATCATCCAAAAGGTCAACTTCACTCCTTGTCTGCACTATGATTCTGGGTTTAGTGACTGTTCTATGAGATGAGGGTGGAGCAGATGACACAACCTCTGCCTCTAAGCTCCTGCGCTTAAAATCACTTATTAGATCAGGCAACTACAACACCAAGAGCAAGCTGTTCTCAGCTTCTCTGTTTAGCATGAAGGGCAGAAAAGCTAGCTTAAAGCAGAAATATAGCTAAAAGCTGATAAAGAAAATACCAGGAGCTAAAATTGGAAATCTATAATAGTAGGTATTAGAAGTGTTTGATAAAACTAGATTATGACTAGCTGATGTATGTGAAAAGGCATCAAAGGGCATTCCTTATATGGACGGTAGAGGATAAATGGTGTTGTTTTTGTAAAAGAATAGGGTTATTTGTGGGAAAATAAATAGGTGGGAGTTTATTTATAAAAGAAATATGAAACAGCCTTTTATAAAGGGCTTATGATACTCATTCTGTTACGAAACATAGCTGATCACTTGGTGCCGCTTTAAGTTATTAGCCCCTCCAAAAAAATGTTTAAAGTTACTTTTAATATTATATCTAGAAACACCTCAGCCAGATGTATTTCTCGTTTCCCCTTTCGGAGTACAAAAAAAGCACTATCAAATGGCACCTCACCTTCTCTTAGGAATGTGTTCATCATCCTCATCACATGCAATTACTGTCTCCTCCATTTCATCAAGTTCCTGAGATGGTAATTTGGTGGATAACAGGTCTGACTCAGAAAACTCAATCTCATTTGATCCGTTAACTAGAGCCAAACAACAAGAAGCAGTGTCAGGGTTAGGAAGTTCATTATCTCTGCCCTCCACTTCACAATCATCTTTCTTCCTTTTGTTAGGGTTAGGAAGTTCATGGTTATGCTGCCCTCTATATGTTATCTCAGTAATGTGCCCATCAACAGACCGCTCAACTTTCTTCTTGACCATGCATTTGAGTTGCGAGCATCTATAGTAACTTCGTGGACACTCGCTCCCCTTAACAAGTTTCTGTCCATATTTCCTCCAGTTATAACCATCTTTGGCCGGCCTCTCCATAGCATTGGGAGGAGGTTTTCTCAGTGATTGGGAGACCTCCACGGGTTCATTCTTCAAACTATCTTGGTCAAACAACACATCATCCAGTTGACTTTGGAATGATTCAGTTCGGACGGAAGAAGATTCATGTTCTAACGCATCTAGAGGTGAAGATTGATGGTAATCAGTCTGCATTTGCAAATAAGACTGGTTTAATGCAGCCTGAGCTGTCACATGTGCCAAGGCTTGTTGGTGAGACATTCCAAAAGGACTCTGCACAAACATTAAAAAAAACCAATTCATGCCACTGAATGAATGAATGAATTTCTCAATGAAGACATCTCATTCTCCAGAGAGTAAATGACGAATACAATTTAGTTCAGTAGAATATGACAACATCATTTTTCTTTTAAACAATGAATCTATAATCCTCTATTACATTAACAACAACATTTTTTATAATGTTCCATTCTAAAAAATCATATTTATTGAGTACTAGATTTAGAATTTGGTGGTAGGTGGTTTAAAGCGCTTACAAGATGGTGGTTCTTTAGAGCACACAAATATTGAAACTCATATGACAATTGTTGAGCTTACAAGATGCAGTTGTAAGTTGAGACAGAGATTATTGATACTAAAGTAAAATTTGAGGTTCCATACTAAGTACCAAGATTTGGTTTACAATCGGCTTAGAGATGGCTCAATATAGCTCACAAAAACAATCTTGAAGAAGTCTGTGCTGATTTTAGAACTTACCTGAACCTAATGAATAGTTTGAATGTGATATTAAAATTTAGGAAACCAAACATGGATGAACTATAAGAGATTGAAATCGAAAAGAAACCCAAGCCCAGAATCCAAAGAGTTCATATAGGTGATTACCTGAAGAGGTGAGAGGAATCCGGGAGACTTGAGGAAGCTAGAAGGGCTAAAGCCAGGCGGGACGACGAACAAAGGAGAGAGAGCAGCAACCGCCAAGCTCATCGGCCGATTCTGCTTATATCCCGACTGCTTCTCACTTCCCAGGCCGGAAATCGCCTTCTCGGGAGGATTAGCGAGCGGGGAAGCCATGGCTCCGGCAAGGAGCTGGGAGAAAGAGCAGACATCGGGGTCGGCGAGGAAGCTGGAAACCAGGGACATGGGACCCGGGCTGAATCCGGGTATGAACCCATCCGCGAAGAAGGACTCCATGGGCGGGCGGGGAGCGACGGTGAGTAGCGGCGGGCGTGGAGGCCCGGCGATGGTGGTCGGAGCTCTGTCTGTGATCTCACCCATCCCAGAAATTCCAGAAATTATAATAATGATTTTGCTTTACATCTTCTTCTTCTTCTTTTTATATAGTCCGTGTGTAAAAGGGCACTTGACATTGGCACTGTACGGAGGATTTTGCAACTTGCAGGTATTAGGTTTCATAGCGGATATCAATTTCAATAATTGTTATTACTGTTACGATTGAGATGAAATGGGAGTAACTAACATGGAGTACTTTTTACTTTTTTGTGAATTGACCGAAAGCCGGAGAGATAAATGAGGGCGCGGCTCACCGGCAAACGGGGTAATGCGGTGGGGGCCGCCGTAAATATGTCCGGCGCGGTCGCTGCAACTTGCAAAAAGCTGGAGGAGAAAGGGGGGCCCGACGTTGACTTTTGTGAAAGAAGAAATAGTCATCGGTCTTGTACTACGTACGTATTAGTAAAAAAATACTTTTGTACGTACTATGAAAAGTTGTTAAAAGAAATTCTTTCTCCGTATTTGTAATGTTAAAGCCCGTTAGGTAGCACGAAAATTGACTGATTCTGCTGAAATTTATGAAGTTTTAGTTGGAGTGACTACATCGACTGATTCTGGTGATTTAAGAAAATATTATTTTGAAAATATATTTCATTAATAAAATAAAGAAACAGGGCCGTCTAATGAATTTGGAGGCCCCGGTTCGAAATAGCAAATTGAGGCCCCCTAAAACAATAAAATATAACAAATTTAACAATGAAATAAAAAAAGTCAATGAAATATAAGTTTTATATACTCCATAACGTTTTAGGAGTAAAAAAAGTCCTACCCGAGCACAACCCTACGTACATAAGTACTCGCCATTGGGAATTTGGAAAGTACACTGCTCTAGTTAAACTAATTAATAATTGTACAAAAAATGTTAAACTAATTAAGTAATTATTATGTAACTGCTTCAAAAAAATGTACGGTTATGTAAAAACAATGTTCCTTTTTTCAATTTATAAAAACTAAAAGTTATACATGTTTTAGAATTTGAAATAATACACAATATCTAGAAAAAATCAACCTACAGGCTATAGTTAATACTACATACTAAAAATTTGGATGCCCCCTATAAACGTGGGCCCCGGTGCGAAGCACCTATTGCACCTCCTAAAAGACGGCTCTGTAAAGAAAAGATATATGTAAAATAACTAAAATGGTCATCTATAATAACTTCACCCAATATATCCAGAAAAATAATTTCAACCTTACTTTTTCTGCAAAAGCAAGAAAAGGTTAAGTGTTTGGTAAAAAAATTGATTGATAAGTCTGATATCTTTGTATTTATATAACTATCCAAATCTAGTCTGGTCTGATCTGATCTGGTCTGATGTGGGACGGGACAAATTATCTTCGAAGTAAAAACATCCTTATTATTTTGGTGGAAGGCTTTCATTAGTTTTATTACTCGGGTAAGTTTTTTTTCATTAAATTTTATACCTGATTAAACATCCTTATTATGTTGGTGCAAGGCTTTCATTAGTTTTATTACTCGGGTAAGTTTTTTTCATTAAATTTTATACCTGATTAACTGATTTGTTTCATTTGTTTCCTTCCCTCACAAGAATTAGGATTTCAAATAGTTTATCTCTTTAGAATAAAACTTCTCATCTCTGCCAAAAGAATCATTCATTTGATGTATGCATAAATACTTTTTCAAAATAATCCATCCATACCAATCAATTTTACCAGTATACTACATATGATCAACATAGTTTCTTTGTGCTATATGATTTCGAAATTATAATGTCATACTTTTATATTTAAATCCATTGTTTGCAATTCAATGGATCTTTCAGTAATTTTTCTTAATATGTCTGTTTGGAATATTATTTGATAGATTTTGACTCTATAATCAGTCAAATTTTATAAACTTTGAGAATGTAAATAGAGAATCCATTCATAGACATAAGATGAAAGAACAATCACCCCCGCCCACAATAAAGTTCCTAGTGCATATTGTGTCCCCTTGGAAATAATTCATGATATACCACTCGTCATTTCAATTTTTTGAGGTGTAGAGGGAAAAAAACTCAAGAGTGCATACATCAACTCGATGAGTGAAGGAACTTCCCAAGGCATTCAGCTCGATAGTGGTGACAGTATCAATGTGACTACTTCATAGACCAGATTATAAAAAATATTCAAAGTTTTGTCTCAAAGAAATATGTCGATGACACCACAAGGCCTCCAACGTCAAACGTTCGGACCAGTCTATGTCTCTTTTGAGAAGATTCAAGCCAACACAACTCCAGATGAAACGACTTTAATTCCTTCACACTTTTTGCTACATCAGACGGGCATCCCATATACATGTCCCCTGGTAATAGTGTATACTGGAAACCGCCATCAAATGAGACCAAGTTGCTAGACATCGTACCGGTCCAACGTACATTAGTAGTAACGTCACTTCCTGAAGGTGTGGATGTGATGTCCTGCGTGCAAGAGAATAAGTATCAAGGACTTGTAATTCAATAGTAAAAGGTCAATATGATATAATGACTAACTTAAACACTTCATATATATGTTAAGTACATATGTTAAAATTTATTCAATATGGGCTGGTCTTTTAACATGAAACACAACTTCTTAAGTGACAAAAAGCACATTCTGCACTACAAATCTAAAGATGTGATAAGAAGGTGTTAAAGAATCTGGACGAGAAATTTAGACCTGGATCAGTTGTCCATCCTCGTGCATTTCAAATAAAGCAATTGTATCTGCTTCCTGCAAAGTTGCTCCATAAACACCAGTGCGCTTTGTGATAGAGTGACCTTTCCATTTGCCAAGATGTGGGAAAATCCTGTTTGCTTCATCCTATAATAGAGGCGGCAAAAGATTTATATGTCCGACAATACAACATCCATTGGCTCCATAGTCCATACAAAGGTTAAAGCCTTCCAGTTGCATTATTTTTTAATCCATTAGAACACATTTAAAAGACTATTATATCCGTGGGAACCATTATAGTCTTGACATAGTAATGACTTCTTTATTATGATCACTTCATGTATGCTTAAATATTTATTACCATGTGCATTGTTCTTGCACATGAATCGTAGTAATGAGATAATGAATGGACTGGATGACACCACCTGTAAGAAAAGTGTTAAAGGATGGATTGTACAGAACTTAATAAATGGATCATAAATGGATTGGAACTAATTAACGATATTTTAATGGATTATACAAGGATTGATGAACTATTTCAGAATTCAAATAATGATCCAAAAAATATGGTAAAGGAGGGATTAAAATTAAATTGATAAAAATAGATTTCTGAAATAATTAATAAAATTTGTATGGAAAATAATAGATCAACAATTTGTTGTCAATCTGTCCATTATAATTATAATCCGAATGAACATTTACTCCGGCTATACATTTGTCATCACTTGTCATGCTAAATGTGTGTGTATAGATGGAGAGAGAGAGAAGAAAGATGCTTAAGCCAAATAAATTGTTTAGATAGAATTGTTAAATAAAGGACCAAAACATACGCAAAGTTTAAAAATAAGACTACATACATATGGAGTATGTTTTATTCCTCAAATAGGACTTATTTAGTCCTATTAAAAGTATAAGTTGATTTAAACTTCCCAAAATAGGAGTGAATGAGTCCTATTTTGGGAATAAAACAATGATAAGCTTATTTATGAACTTTGACATTATTTTAGTCATATTTAGGGAATTTTCTCTTGTTTAAAACTGTGATAGTTGAAGGCTCGGATGAACAAGAAGATGTTAAGATGTGGAAGTTTTCATATGATGCCAAGTACCTTAGAATTGTTCAAGGTAGGAGGGATAAGCTCTTTACCACCTCTTTCTTCTAGGAAAACTAGAAGCATTTCTAGGATACCTTTTGGGTCCATGATATGAAATGCTCTAACCCGCATGTCTTTCTCTAGTGAATAAAGGCAACTTTCGCACACCACAGAAGGCTTTTTAGAGGGGATCTTTAGATCTCTGAAAAAATGGGACAGAGTTAGAGTAAAGCAATAATTACATATTAAACGTTATTTCATTATTGGCATGAGAATATAATCTACGAAGAAATTCCACTTTTGGTCCTCCGAGTTTTGCACCAATTCCACATTTAGTCCTCGTCTTTCACTTTATCCATTTTTGGTACTTGACTATTGTTTTTTTGACTATATATAGTCCTTTTTCGATAGTAAAAATGTCCGGAGTTGGACCGAAAATGGTCAAAAAAACAATAGTCAGGTACCAAAAATGGATAAAGTGAAAGACGGGGACTAAATGTGGAATTGGTGCAAAACTCAAAGGACCAAAAGTGGAATTTTTCCTATAATCTACCTTGGTGACTCTTCTTCAGTATCATCTTCACCTAACACTCCTTGTCTTAAGATTGTTTCTAACATGCCAGCTGTTTGATACCTTAATGCAAATGCCTTCTCCTCTGGGAAAAAACCAATCTGAAAACTACTTCCAGCTGTAATTGAAGATAAGAATGAAAATGAAAAGAAAATGCTGAATCCTTCTACAAGGGCACTTACTTGTTGATATTTGTCCACAGTAAACAGGTTAGTCTCTTTAATTTTGTACTCATACCATTCTGTTTCGTAATTGTCCCCTGATATTGAAGTTGCAGATTGAGGCTGTCTAATATATAACCTAAAAGTTCAATTCTGTCAGTATGTCGGCAACTAAAAATCTGTTAACTTAAACCAGCTAATCCCTAAAAGGAACATTCCATTACACAATCAAATCTGTTTGGACATCAATTTTATCAATAGCGGATAGCATATTATGGCTGAAAGCCTAAACACCGCTATATATATAGCAGATAGTGTTGCGGTAAATAGCAGAGGAATAAAGGATTAGGTAAAATAAAATACATACTCCGTGTATGATAATAATCTTTAAATATGATACTACATGTAAACAATAAAGTAATAATTAGATTCTAGTCCCATTTAAAAAATTAAAACTTGTAACTAAACTTGGAATCATAACACAAATTCACAAACTAGTAAACCATCCACCACATTCCAACTTAAGAAAAATAAATTGTTTGATAGGTATAAGTCTATAACTTCTGATGCCAATATACTCTTTTGTAGCCAAATCTGGTATTCCTAGCTTTAGGGGCAAATTGTCATGAAAATGAAGTTCAACTTTGGGGCATTTCTAAAATATACTTGAAGTAGTATTGGGTTAAATGGAATTATGCAGTTGATTGGTGTATTGTTGCTTATAAAAGACAGATATTCAGGGGCGGATATAGAAATTCAAAGAGTAATTATACTAGGCATCAACATTAGTTGGGTGGGTTAAATATGAAACCTTGAAAACGTTTAACTTCCAAAAGTAGATCCTCCCCTACATATATTATATTGAAATATATGGGTCGTAAATTTTGTAGTATACATTTTCTGATGTATCAAAAACAATTGTGCCGTAATGTTTAAGCAATATTAGCTGTAATACTTATGTTGAATCAAAAGTGCGACAGCAATTTGCATATAGAATTAACAGTTGGAGCCAGCAATGTTTAAGCAATATTAGCTGTAATACTTATGTACCATGAATAATACATTAAATGGAACTGAAAATGTCTAATCTGAGATAATAATGCTCACATACGTTTGAATTAAGCTGATGAGTTCATCCTCCCCATACGAATCCACTGCAAGCTTCGTGCTAATAGTGTGCAGTAAATTCCCGTGACTATCAAATTGCTGCAAAAATCACCAAAACAACATCAAGATCATAAATTGTTACAAGCCAGATGCTACTAATTATGATCGAAGCAAAATGCATTTTGGAAATCACTCTGACATGGAATGAGCCTGTCCAGTTTCCCGTATTAAGTTGGATGAAGCGCTGAAGAGCGTCGACGCCTAACGATTCATCAACGGCGGTGGCGTCGGAGGTGGTGCACGATGGCGGTCTAGCCGTGACTGGAGCTCGGAGTGGGGGAATTTCACGAATAAACAGCCTATGGTTTCGGAAACACAGAGGTGAGATTCTAGAAATGGAGGAGATTAGGGGTGAAATGGGCGGGGTGGGAGGAAATAGTATAGAAGAGATAGCCGTTGCCATGAGGGGATGGAGTCTGCGACTGTGAGTCCTCCACGGTGTCGCGCGCTTGGAAGAAATTATATCTCATCCCAAAAATTAGGAAGCTCCATTTGTGTTCTAAGGTTACCACCTGTGCAATAAACCAAACTTCAAAACAGTTTATACTAAAATTTGGTTAACAAGTTACAAATTGGTTAATATACAGTACCAAATTTATACTAAAATTTGGTTAATATATTTAGAGAAATACAATGTCATTGTAGCTCCTTCCGATATTGTTCCTCAACTATATCAAGATATACGGTAATAGGTTTAGGGGGTGTTTGGATCTGATTCTCAAAACTGATTCTGCTTCTTCAGGGAGCAGAAGCATAAGCTGGAGTGTTTGGGTGAAATTCCAGAAGCACTTCTGGCGCTCTAATTTACTCTCAGAATCAGTTTTTTTAGAAGCTGGTAGGTACCTGCTTCTGAAAACTGATTCTGATTCTGCTTCTGCTCTTTAAAAAGAAGCAGAAGCAGAATCAGTTCCAAACACCCCTTAATAGATATTTTCTTTTATGGTTCATATTCTGGATTGAATTTATTTTTGTAGTAATCAGATCTATTAAATTCGAGGTATACAAACGGAAGAACTCAACTAGCCAAAAAAAAACTCAACTTTATTTGAAAGCAAATCAAATTGAGTTATGAAACCTATTTTACTCACTCATAATACCAAGTACTTGTTGGTGAGCTCGCACATATTTCTCCACGAGGATGACAAGGTCATGGACATGAAGGGCGTATATTAAATGAAACCATGGATTATACCAAGCGAATTACTCATTTCAAATTTGAACGACAGATCTGTCGCATGTCAAACCCTAGTAAGGTTCTTCGATTTATTATCATAGATAATAAAATATAATAAAAAGAAAACATCAAATGAGCACGTGAAAGTTGAGGTATCGCACGCGGTACTTCCAGATAATGAATTTGAGGCAGTAAAATTTTCATATTGTTTTCATATGTCATTGTTGTCGCTACAAATGACGTTGGGGTGTTTGGATCTTATTCTTAAAACTGCTTCTGCTTCTTCAGGGAGCAGAAGCAGAAGCTGAAGTGTTTGGATGAAAGTGCAAAAGTGATTGTGATACTCAAATTTACTCCTAGAATCAGTTTTTTTAGAAGCTAGGGTGACCAACTTCTGAACACTGATTCTGATTCTGATTCTACTTTTTTTGCTTCTACTTTTTTTTGACAATAGAGGGGGTTGTCAAAAGAATCTGTCATATGGAATGTTTGGAATTGATTACTGTTATAGTATGCATAGTATGCAGATGCCGAGTTTTTCGGTAGCAGACAGCAGTTATAGTATGCAGATGCCGGCACCGGTCCGATTACCCACCTGGGTCTCCAAACGAAGGCTCTTCGACCTAAAACTCTTTGAACTCCACAAATGCACAGACGTTAATCACTTGAAGCAGTTTCATGCGCTCGTCTACAAATCCAGTCTTCACCGAGACCCTTTTGTCGCGACCAAGCTTGTCGCCGCCTTCTCCGTCTGCCGCCAAATCGCGTTGGCGGTTAATATATTCTCTCAAGTGCAGGAACCCAATATCGAATTGTACAACGCTCTGACCAAAGCCCATATCCTCAACTCCCAACCCTCACATGCCTTTTCTGTCTTCTTGCAGATGCAATATTGTGGCGTCTTTCCGGACACTTTCACTTACTCTCATCTCTTGAAGCTCTGCTCAGAAGATTCTAGATTGAATACGTTGAGAATCATCCATACTCTTGTTGAGAAAACAAGGTTTAATTATGACATTATTGTCTGTAATTCCTTGATTGACGTGTACTCAAAGTGCGATATTTCTTCTGCCGGGAAGGTTTTTTCGGCGATGGACCATAGGGATGTAGTGTCTTGGAATTCTATGATCTGTGGACTGTTGATAGCTGGGGACTTGACTGAAGCCCAGAGAATGTTCGAAATAATGCCTGAGAAAGACACAGTGAGTTGGAACACAATGTTGGACGGATATGTGAAGAGCAGACAAATGGATGTGGCGTTTGAGCTGTTTGATAAAATTCCTTCGAGAGATGTTGTGTCTTGGTCAACCATGATGTTTGGATATTGCAAAGCAGGGGATGTTGAGATGGCTAGAGCAGTGTTTGATAAAATGCCTTCAAAGAATGTCGTCTCATGGACAATCATCATAACCGGCTACACTGAAAAAGGGCTTGTGAAGGAAGCCAATGAGTTGTACACTCAATTGTCAGTATCATATCCGCCTGTGTAGAAGCCCGTATGCTCAGTTTGGGTAAAAGAGTTCACCGTACCATGAAAAAGTCTTCGTTTAATTCTAACACTCTGGTTTGCAATGCTCTGATTGATATGTACGCCAAGTGTGGAAGATTGAGCAAGTCATTCATTATGTTTAAAAACATAAGGATGAAAGACTTGAGATCATGGAATTCCATGATTCATGGGTTCGCCATGCATGGACATGGTGGAAAGGCGCTGGAGCTCTTCTCTGAGATGAAAAGCAGAGGGTTCGTCCCGGATAAAGTCACATTTGTTGCTGTTTTATCAGCGTGCAGTCATGCCGGATTTGTAAATAAAGGCATTTCTATCTTCAACTCATTAAGGAGCAACTATGGGGTTTTACCCGAAGTACAACATTTTGGTTGCTTGATTGATCTCTTAGGGCGAGGTTGGCATCTCAAAGAATCTTTCGTTGTTGCTCTTAACATGCAGGTCAAACCAAACATAAAAATCTGGGGTTCCCTTCTTGGGGAATGCCGAATGCATGATGATGTCCGGTTTGCACAAGACGTGCTCAGCTATCTAGCAGACGAAGTAGGCATGGATGATGATTCCAGAAAGTTCTGTAAGGTGTCAGATGTGATATTTCTAATGGACATTGGCAGGGAAAAGGCGTCTAGCCATCTGGTGTGAGCACAATCGAGTTGATGGATAAGTTTCACGAATTCAAGGTGATGGATAGTGATCATCCTAAATCAGATAAAATATATGAGATGATAGATGGGTTGAGTCAACATCTTAAGATATATGAGATGATAGATGGGTTGAGTCAACATCTTAGACTGCTAGGTACCTGTTAATCACTAAGTTGTATGTGAGAAACATTGATTTTTCCCTTTTTCTCATTGTTATTGCCAAACCACCATAAGTTTGGTGTGTATGTAGGTTTATTACCGTGTAAATGCTGTGATCATAGTCTTCTGCCATTTCAAGATGATGGCTTGAATAATAGCTGTAACTATATGCCAATAGTTGAGTGCATTGTACCTGTGAAGCAGTGACATGTTTTATCCTTGTCAAGTTAGTAAAGTACGTGGTAATACATATGACATTGTTGACTGTGCAAAAAAAAACCGTACTGTAAGGAATAAATGTATTTAGATTTTGATGATGCTAGACCAATTAGGATATTAGAGTACCCCATTAAAAATTTTGTATTAGAATTTTTCTGAGTGTAGGCACTAGAGTATTCGACTGGTCAGAAGACCTCAGGTCTTCTGATTCTGGTCTTCTGTTCGAAATAATCAGTTTTTTTAGAAGCTAGGGTGACCAACTTCTGAACACTGATTCCGATTCTGATTCTACTTTTTTTGCTTCTACTTTTTTTTGACAATAGAGGGGGTTGTCAAAAGAATCTGTCATATGGAATGTTTGGAATTGATTACTGTTATAGTATGCATAGTATGCAGATGCCGAGTTTTTCGGTAGCAGACAGCAGTTATAGTATGCAGATGCCGGCACCGGTCCGATTACCCACCTGGGTCTCCAAACGAAGGCTCTTCGACCTAAAACTCTTTGAACTCCACAAATGCACAGACGTTAATCACTTGAAGCAGTTTCATGCGCTCGTCTACAAATCCAGTCTTCACCGAGACCCTTTTGTCGCGACCAAGCTTGTCGCCGCCTTCTCCGTCTGCCGCCAAATCGCGTTGGCGGTTAATATATTCTCTCAAGTGCAGGAACCCAATATCGAATTGTACAACGCTCTGACCAAAGCCCATATCCTCAACTCCCAACCCTCACATGCCTTTTCTGTCTTCTTGCAGATGCAATATTGTGGCGTCTTTCCGGACACTTTCACTTACTCTCATCTCTTGAAGCTCTGCTCAGAAGATTCTAGATTGAATACGTTGAGAATCATCCATACTCTTGTTGAGAAAACAAGGTTTAATTATGACATTATTGTCTGTAATTCCTTGATTGACGTGTACTCAAAGTGCGATATTTCTTCTGCCGGGAAGGTTTTTTCGGCGATGGACCATAGGGATGTAGTGTCTTGGAATTCTATGATCTGTGGACTGTTGATAGCTGGGGACTTGACTGAAGCCCAGAGAATGTTCGAAATAATGCCTGAGAAAGACACAGTGAGTTGGAACACAATGTTGGACGGATATGTGAAGAGCAGACAAATGGATGTGGCGTTTGAGCTGTTTGATAAAATTCCTTCGAGAGATGTTGTGTCTTGGTCAACCATGATGTTTGGATATTGCAAAGCAGGGGATGTTGAGATGGCTAGAGCAGTGTTTGATAAAATGCCTTCAAAGAATGTCGTCTCATGGACAATCATCATAACCGGCTACACTGAAAAAGGGCTTGTGAAGGAAGCCAATGAGTTGTACACTCAATTGTCAGTATCATATCCGCCTGTGTAGAAGCCCGTATGCTCAGTTTGGGTAAAAGAGTTCACCGTACCATGAAAAAGTCTTCGTTTAATTCTAACACTCTGGTTTGCAATGCTCTGATTGATATGTACGCCAAGTGTGGAAGATTGAGCAAGTCATTCATTATGTTTAAAAACATAAGGATGAAAGACTTGAGATCATGGAATTCCATGATTCATGGGTTCGCCATGCATGGACATGGTGGAAAGGTGCTGGAGCTCTTCTCTGAGATGAAAAGCAGAGGGTTCGTCCCGGATAAAGTCACATTTGTTGCTGTTTTATCAGCGTGCAGTCATGCCGGATTTGTAAATAAAGGCATTTCTATCTTCAACTCATTAAGGAGCAACTATGGGGTTTTACCCGAAGTACAACATTTTGGTTGCTTGATTGATCTCTTAGGGCGAGGTTGGCATCTCAAAGAATCTTTCGTTGTTGCTCTTA